GACTCCCTGCGGTCGCTGCCTTCTGCGGAAAAATGACATAAATCCCCGACATGCAAATATTTGCAACCTTCGGCGCCTTCTGCGACCTCAACTTTCCAGATGGCTTGCACCAATCTGTCTCACCTCTTCTGCCTCGATCCGCTTACCTCCTCCAACCTCTCTCCCTTCAGCCAATTTCGATGGCCACATCAAACTGGAACGAAGTCATATAGTCAGCTTCAGAGAGATGATCGTCAATTTCATCCCAACAGTTGCCGGCGTTTCCCTGGCGGAGGCGCCAGCTTTCGTCAAAGCCCGTGGTGCTGGCAAATGTTTCCATTGTCGTGTCATGGCTTGGAGGTTGGTACGCCTTCGTTGGAAAGCTTGGCGTTGAGGATTTAGTTCGATGCTGCGCCGCTATTCTACGGGATAAGCAGTGGCCATTTTGATTTGATTATATCCCGACGACCCATCCATAAATGAGAATATATCATAATTGGATGTATTGTCAACTAACAGTTCTGATATTGGAAGTGGGAAATCGTCTTTTGGACATGCCTTGTTAAGATCTCGAAAATCGATGCATATGCGAATTTGTCCATTTTTCTTTTTCACTGGGACAATGTTGGCTATCCAATCAGCATATTTTTCTTCTCGAATGAAACCTGCTTCGATGAGCTTCTTGGTTTCTGCAATCACTTGTTCTTCGATCTCCAACCTCATTCGCCTTGGAGCTTGCTTAACAGGTACTGCACCTGGTTTGATTGCTAATTTGTGAACAGCTATATCAGGGGATATGTCTGACATTTCATCATATGTCCAAGCAAAACAGTCCCTGAATTCACTGAGTAATGCTTTCATTTTTTCAACTTTATTCTTGGAGAGAAGAGCACTAATGAAGGTTGGGCGAGGGTCCTCATCAGTTCCCAAATTTATTTCTGTCAGTTCATCCATGGTAGCGGCCTGTCCTCCATCTTCAAGTTCTTCTGGTGCAGGTTTAGCTTCCACATCTTTCTCTTCATTTATATCCATATTTTCATCAATTGGATATTTGTCATTTATCGCATAACATACATCTCGCTCAGTATGTTTTGCTTCCACAAATCCCAAGCCTTTTGTATCACGATTACCCATTTTAGATAATTCGTGACACCACATTATTTGAAAGAAACGTGCTCATCGTCGAGTGACCATATTATGAATTCCAGATTTTTGTATCATTTACTGAATTCTTTTGGACAATATCTAGGCATCTCTGTAGGAATTATCTCTTCATCTTCAGCGAAATTCTCAAGCTCATTGATATTATCTTCTTGATACTCTCCAATTTTGTAAAATAAACTTCCCGGTCCACTACTTCCACGTATGGGAGGTACATAAAATATTTTAAGCTCTTCAAAACTATGAACCTCACGGGATACGATTTCTCTAAAATGTTGTGGAGGGATCAGTGTAACCACAAAAGTATTCTCCCTTGGCTTTTCTTTAATCAAAGGCTTGTGAATTTCAGAGATATCATCATCTTCCTCTGTGTCACTTCCCAGGTGGAGTACAACTTTATTTGATCTAGGTAATGTGTTAGCCCCTTTAGGAAAATTTTGTGACTTTCTTCTCATCTCATTTTCTTCAACTCCTTTGAGTTGTTTTGTACTTCTTGAGCTTGATGCTTTACTTGCAGAAGATTTCATCAGCTTTATTTTATTTGGAATGAAGTATTTTGCATCATCATAAATTTTTACTTCGTGGACTGCAAAGATATTTCATGCATTGGTGCATAGTTGATGGAACAAGACCATTCTCATGGAGCCATGGTCTACCCAAGAGTGCCTTGAATGAAGTGTCTGTATCGATGATATGAAATTTGGCCTTTTTGTATAATTCTCTAAATTTTAGTGGAAGAACAAACGAACCTACAGTTTTTTGTCCTTTCTCGTTAAAGCCATGCACCATAAGTTTATCTGAACCTAGATGTTGAATATCAAGGTATAAGGACCATAGTGTGCGCAAGCTCATGAGGTTTATTGAAGACCCAGGATCAATCAGGATTCGCCTTATTATGATGCCATCACTTTCTGCCGTGACATATAAAGGGCGATTATGTTCTGTAGTCCCCAACATGAGATCTTCTTCAGAGAATGTAATAACAGGTTCATTTCTGGCATGAAGAACTTCACTCAAACATCTTTCGGCGAAATATGCTTCATATTTCTCTGGATTTTTGAGAGCTTGTATCAAAGTTTCTCGAAGATCTTTTCACATCAAAAGAGCTTCATAGATGCTAAGCTGTGCTGGGATTTTTCTCAAATGGGAAATGATATTATACTCTATCCCTTTATTTGTATCATATTTCTTCTTATGATCTTTAGGGATAATTTCTTCGTTGATAATTATATATTTTTCCTTGTCTTTGCTTGATAACCCATTTTTTAGCGGCGGTGGTGGCAATACTTTACCACTTCTTAATTGTACTTGAGCCACTTCGTTTGATTCAACATCATCTGATGAAGTTTTTGTTGAATGTTCAGAGTCTTCATTTAGCTTCACATGCTCCATTCGTGAAGCTATTTGCTGATCTGACTCATCTTCACTTGGGAAACACAACTCTTCTTCTAAGTTATAGTCTGTTTGCAGTATCATCAAACATGACTCAGACGTCATTTTATCAGTCACTTTTGTATGAGACATTGCTATATGACCCCTATTATGATCTTTTACAGAATCTCTTTGGGCTGCATTCGGTGCCGCTGAGATAACTCGACATGTTTCTACATGGAGTTGATCTTCATCTTCTTGTTCATCATCTTCCACTTTTGATTGGTCTATTTGAAGCTTAGACATAAAGTCTGCAAGTGTTATAGGCCGCCTTGATGGTTGGTGATAATCCTCCAAATTGTTGATGATCTTCTGAAGTGTTGTTGTTTTCTTCTTATGCTTGATGCGCTTATTTGAGTTATTAGACTTCTTGGAGGATGTCTTATAGAACCGCTTCGTATTAGGACGCCTCCGAGTTAATGACCTGGAAGTGATTGCACCTGAATTTGGATTTCCTCTTAATTCAAGCGCTGGTTTTGTAGAGGATTTCCATTTGATGCTAGGAATTCCTTCCAATTGTTTGATCATCTTCATTGCCTTCTTAGAGATTGCGGTCTGCCATTCGTCTTTTTCTGACATCATTTTCCCCTTCATTTTATCTTCTTTCTTAATCACGGGTATAGGAGAAGACCCGATCATCTTTACGGATTTCTTTTTTGGGTGAACTAAAACGCTATTTGATAGCATGAATTCACCATTTCTATACTTTCTTTCAAGCCAATCTTTGAATACATAACAATCTTCAATAGGGTGGCTGATAACTCGGTGATACGGGCAATAACTTGGATCATCTTTCTGATCAGCTTCTTCGGGTCTTTTACACTCTGGTAATTCAAGACCAGCATTAAGTGCTTGTTTGAATAGCTTTGCCACACTTTCCTTTTTAAAAGAATATTCTCTATTCATTTTCTCTTTAAGGGATGTGATTCGATCACCATTTCTTGGCTTCGAACGTTCTCCTCAATTACGGAAAGTTTGAGATCTATCATTTCCTCCCAAAATTAGTTTTGGCTGGGGTTTATTGTACTGCTTCCCATTATCATCTTTAGGAGTAGATTGTTTTTCTTTCTCAATTCTTAAAGATGATGTGGAATAGATTTCATCTCTTCTATTATCCACAGCTTTATTCTTTCGGGGTCTATCTGAATGATATTCAGACTTAGACAAGTTCAACTTTTCAAACTTAGCTACTCTGTCCAGTAGCTCTTGGTAAGTACTGATGGAGGCCATGAAAAAAAATGGTAACATCTTATCATCGATGTTTCCCATCAGTAGTTGAACGGCGTGCTCCTCTTCCAACTGTTGTTCGCATTTCATACTTATGTTGCGCCAGCGGGTGATGATGTACTTTGTCACCAATGACTCGCCCTTTTTTTCGTTTTCCTCTACAGGCACGGTCAGCGACAATATTCTTCTCGTAGTCACTAGCGAACCTTTTCACGAACATATTTCTAATTTTGCAAATTGTCTTGACAGAATTTATAGGAAAGCTCGTGTACTCATTCAAAGCAAGTCGCAGTCAAACTTACTAAATGATATTGGCGGACAGAGTAGAATGCATCAACACCTCTCATATTTCCACAGGTTGCTTTAAATGGCCAGGTGTTGTTTTTGGATTCAGTGCCATTAAAAGTGTTGAACTTAGGCACTGAGTAACCTCTTAGGTGCAGGGTCATACCTGATCGTTACTCTGCTGATACGGCGTTGACACTTGCTCACAAATTTTCTTCAACTGTTCTGATGTCAATGACAGCTTTAATCTTTTGTATTGATAATTGTTCTATATCGTGGAGTCATCATCGGCTCTCAGATGCACTTGCAATATTTTATGAGTTTGGTGGATGATACAGGTTTGATCAGCCTCATTTCCTTCTTCATTTCTTGCTCGTATTCTGGACACCTGGGGTATTGGGTCCATTGGCAGATTAGTAGGAATACTACTTGATATCTGCTGATGGACTGGCTGGTGTTATCTGATGATCAATTGGTTGAGCAAGTGCAGGAGTAGTAGTGATGTTCTTTTGCATTAACTGCATCATCGCAGTCATCTGTGCCATCATTTCTGTCATCTTGCTATTCAGCTCTGATATCTCCTTATCTTTTTCCTTCATTTGATGTTTCAAACGCCTTTGTGCTTGTGCCAATGTTTCAGCAAGTACTTCTTCTTCCTGATCATCATTTTGTCCATCATCTGAAGGGACTTCTTCTTCTTCTAACTGCTCGTACTGAACTTGATCTTCTTGAGAGGTTGTTTTAGAAGAAGTGGGCACTGCTTCATTGCGACGTCTATAGCCACGTGTTTGATGTGGCTCATCACCATGTCCCACCATATAGACTACCTCAACCTCCATGGTATCTTCATCTTTATTATTTTCTTGTACTCGAATTTCAGAGCGACGCTTCCAGTAGATTTCTGGCTCTTCATGCGGTACATGAACTTCTTCAATTGGAGGGGTACGATCAAGGTTGACCTTCTTCTAAGAGAATGAGGTTGGTTGGCAACAGGATTCCTTGGAAGATTTTTCAAGGTGTCGACTATTGCGAATGTCAATAATAGGCACCTTTTCCTTAGGTACCCATTGTTGACGATTTTTATGAAAGGCGGATCTCTGGGAGGCTGCACCAGATGTCACGCCCAAATCAGTTCCTCTTTCTCTTCTATCTTCTCTGTGAGGCTTTGGCCTCCAAATTTCTTTTTCTTTGCACTGGGACCTTTCGGTGGCGGATCCTTGAACTCCAAGTTCAG